GGGGCGGGGAGGGGAGGGAGGTGCCGGGCTGGGCTGAACTCGGTGTCCTATCTTGAGGGCGCGGGCAGTCGCGTAACGACAGGCTGGAGTAAGGCAGAGTCTTCCGGGGAAGCAGGAGAGGGTCCCGCCGCCTCTGGTCCGGGCCCGGCGCCCCCGCGCTCAAACCGCGAGGTTGTCTCACCGCTCTGGAGGCCGGAGGGTCGCTGTCCGGAGCGGCCCCGCGTGGGGGGGGAGAGCAGGCTTCAGGGGCGCTTATCCCGCGGGATCGGGGGCCTTTACCTTCAGTCACCTCCCGGGTCCGAACATGGTCTCAGGGCGTTAGCACCTCGTCCTGGGGATGGGGGTGCCCTCCTTCAGGCCGTAGCGCGCGCAGCTGACTTGTAGCTTGTGCCACTGGCCATTTCTTAAGTACAATTAATTTTTCTGATTGTAAAAGTAACACATATTTATAGAGTAGAAAGTGTGGAACATGCAGAAAAACAGAAAGGAAATAAAATCTTATAGATTTTAAGCCACAACCTAGAGACAAACATTGTTAATATACCAGGGTTGTTTTGTTTGTTTTTCCTGCTAGTATATGCATGTATACATTTGTTATCCATACAATTTGGGCCAAACAACATGATTTTATGTATTTATTTATTTACTAATAGCTTTCTTGAGATATAATCCACATATCAGACATCACCCATTTAAAGTGGTGCACAATTCAATGGTTTTTTTGTATATTCACAGAGTTGTGCAACCACCACCACTATCAGTTTTAGAACATTTTTATCCCCCAAAGAAACCCATACCCTTTAGCTGTCAATCCCCAATTCCTCCCCTCTCCCAGCCCTAGGCAACCTATCATCTTCTTTCTGTCTCTGTATATTTGTCTATTCTGGACGTTTCATATGAATGAAGTCGTACAGTATGTGGTCTTTTATGATTAACTTCTTTCACTTAGCATAATGTTTCCAAGGTTCATCCATGTTGTCACATGTGTCAGGACTTCATTACTTTTTCTCTCTCTCTTTTTTTTTTTTTTCAGGTGGCGCCATGTGGCATGTAGGATCTTAGTTCCCCAACCAGGGATCGAACCTGGGCCCCCTACATTGGGAGCTTGGAGTCTTAACTACTGGACAGCCAGGGAAGTCCCTCATTCCTTTTTCTCTTAAACAACTTTATGAGCCACAGTGCATATACCATACTATTCACGTGTTTAAAGTATACAATTCAAATACTTTTAGTATGTCAATGGAGTTGTGCAACCATTACCTTAATCAATTTTAGAACATTTCCATCATCCCAGATTTCATCCCTTTTTATTGCCAAATAATACTCCATTGTATAGGTATACCACATTTTGTTTATCCACTCATCAGTTGGTGGGTATTTGCATTTTGTGAATATTATGAACAATGCTGCTATGAACATCTGTGTTCAGATGGTTCAGATGTTTTGTGTGTACATATGTTTTCATTTCTTTAGGAGTGGAATTGCTGGGTCATATGGTCAATTCCATGTTTAACCTTTTGAGGAGCTGCCAGACAAACCATGTGATTTTTTTATCCTGATTTTCTCACTTAACATCAATCATGTGCATTTTCACAAATTGTTAAATGTTCTTCGAACACTTGACTTTTAATGTTTACAGAATTCCAAATTGTAGTAAACCAATCCCCTGTTATTGGGCATTTAGATTATTTTCAATTTTCATATCATAAACAGCATTTGCATATGCATCTTTGGGCATCTGGTTTTCCATGCATCTCTGGTGATTTCTGTGGAGCAGATTAGTCAGAACTTTGGATCGCAGGACAGGCAGTTTTAAGGCTCTTGGTGCATGATGATGAATTGCCTTGCAAAAAAGCTGTGTCCATTTGCCTTCTCCCAAGTTGACTTTGAGAATGCCAGTTGCAGACCACCTTATATTTTAATTGTGTCCAAAGGTCTCCAGGGCAGGGTCTAGTTTGGGCATCTTTGACCCCATGCCCAGCTCAGTGTGCAACATATAATACAAGTTCGTGTTACACGAATGAGTGAGAGCAAAGGAAGGCCCCGATTAGTACCAGTGTCTGAGTCACTATGAAGGCTGGCTCCGTAGGACTTGCCACCCAGTTGACATGGGGACTTGGTGTAGACTCATGTGTTGAAAGGCATCTCAAAGTTGAAGTGGCCGATGGGAGAGATGAGGAAACCACACAACATAGTCATTCAGACGGTGTGAAGATGGGCAGGAATTCTTTTTTGTACTCCACTCTGTGGGCAGCTTTATGCAAAGCCCTGGAAGAGTGACTTTCACTGAGCTGGTGAGGTCATCAAACTCTCTGTTCACATGGATATCCTGAGGAGAAACCCATTACAAGGCTGTGCATTATCACTTTCTGAGAACTTGACTGTTTTACTTATGTACCCAAGGTGTCAAGGAAGCTTATTAGGGCATTAGTTGTCCCAAGCCTGAAGGGTTGGAGCTGTAAACACATCTCTGGAAAGGCTTTGACTCAGGCCTGGGTTGAAAAAAATCAGAGGTAGAATAAGCAGTGATTTGTGACTAGACTCTTTTTATAATTTGTATTTGGGGATTCTCTCCTTAATGTTTAACTCTTAGAAAAGAGTGACATTTTTTGTATATTAAAAAGGCAAAATTGAGTGAAAAGGGGTTCTCATCTCCTGTGCAGTTCCCCAAGTGAATCTTCCAGCCCCTGCAGCCAGTACTGGACAGGGAGAGGGACCGCCTTGCAAGAGCTGAACCTGCAAATCCAAACATTGGTGAGCAGTGAGCATTGTGCCCGCTAAGCCACCTATTCTGTCTCGGCCAATGAAGAACCCAGGCAGGGGTCTGAGGTGAGACCACCGTGATACCCCACATGGGGGTGGGAGGCGAGTCCGAGTGGCATCATGACCCAGGTTGAACTTGGATGTGGCCACACCATGTATCTGCGCTGGGCACTCTTTCTCTAATCCCCACTTTTTTTCCTCTAAAATGGGGAAAATTATACCTCCTAGGGCTCTTGGGAGGATCAGAGATGAGTTTTATGAGAAGTTCTTACAGAAAAATCCAGCAGCTCTAGGGCAGACAGTGGATTAGCCTGGACAGACCTGAGAACAGCAAAGCAGCCTTCACTTCGCATGGGATTCCTGGACACCTGAGAAACACACACACAGGTGAGAGACGATGAGCCCAGGGAGGCGGGAGGGATCCCTCATCTTTGTTGATGTGGCTCTGGGCGGCCCCGCTCCCTCAGCTCAGAAGGCACCTCCCTCAGACATGATGCCCTTGGTGAGACTGGAGCCCGGGAAGAAAGGAAGGGAGTGGACACTGACTGAGCCCCCACCCTTCACCCACTCTGTGCTGGGAGCCAAAGACATAGACACACAAGACACACCCCGCCCTTAAAGAGCTCACCGGTGCAGGGAGGAGAGGAAAGGAAACATAAAAGTATAATGTGAGGAGTGCCATGAGACCGGGTGCACCAACCCTCCCTGGGAGGTAAAGGGTGGGCAGGGGATAAAACCCCTGAGCTGAGCTTTACAGGTGAGGTGGGTGGAGTTGGGCATTTCAGTAAGAAGAGCCTCAGGATCAAAGCAGGGCTGAGAAGTTGCTCTGTGTGGTAGAATTGCAAGCAGCTTGGGCTGAGAATGATGTGCCTCAAGGCGGGGGATGGGGGGTCTACTGGCAGAGCCCAGAGCCCACATGCTGTGAATGACACGCTAAGCTTGGATTTGTCCAGAGGGGAGTGCCCAACAGATTTAAAGCAGGGGCATGTTTCTGGTGTAGAAAGATCACCTGGAAGCAGGTGGGAAGGAAGGGCCAAGACGGTGAACAGGAGGAGGTGAGAAGGAGGAGCAGGCAGCCCCATTCCCCGCTCCTCCCCACACTGCTTCAGGAGGTGAGATGGAGGGAAGATGTGGAAAGGGAGGGTTCAGCACTGGACCCCAGGCAGGTCTGTGCCGAGCCCCCAGCTTCTGACTCAGTGGGAAGGAGCCCCCACCTAGAGGCAGCCCTTCAGGGGGATGACACATTCAGGTTCGACTCCCAGAATCCAACGTGCCTATTCCCATCTGGGGGATGGTCCAGCAGGTGGCTGGAAATGGGGACCCAGAGCTTAGAGAGAGGTCTGGGTTTCAGCCGGAGCTAGGAGAGGAGTGAGCCTCAGGCTGGGGAAGGGGGTGCTGCTGGGGGTTCCTGTGCCAGCTGAGGGCCACGCAGGGCTGGATGCCCCCAGAGCTGCTGGTACAGTGGTCTTTGTGGGCCTACTCCTCCTTCCCTTCTCTGTTCTCTGCTCTCAGTGATCAGCCACACCCTCCCCACTGGAGACAGAATACCTGGGTGGCCCCTGGGTTCCAGCAAGGCCAGGGGAAGAGCAGGGTAAGGTGAGGGGAAGCCAGGTGGCCCTGGCCATCTTCAGCAGAGCACAACTCCAGTGGGCTGAGGGGGAGGGGCAGCTGGGAGGGAAGGATGGAGGGGGAGGAGTCCGAAGGAGTTCTTGGGTCAGGCCAGAGATGGGTGAGTGAATGACAAGGGGAAGAAGTGGTTGCATGAGGAAGCCAGGGGGCCCCCTACCCCACCTGGGCTCTGGGACCCAAGTACCCACTGCCACTGGGGTGAGGAGATGTAGTGGGGGAAGGGTCTGTGTGGACAGGCACAGGCAGGTCTGTGCCGGGTCCTTCCCCATCAGGCTAGCACTCACAGCAGGA